AATGTCTTAATTTGATATTTGTGCTATGATTTATATTCTCTTTTTAAATTTGTTTTTTCATTTCTTAGGCATGCATCACCTGGAAGTAATGTTCATGTTTACTATTTTTTTATACTAAAGGTTCTTTTGTGTAGCTTTTTTCTACAGCTTCCAAGACACATACATTCCACTGGGCTATCATTGTCAGGTTCTGCAAATAAAGTGAAGTGTGTGAAATGTTCTGCACTTGGTTATAATTTGGACACGTATAATAACTCCATTGGATTATGGAAAGATTAGATGATTAAGAAATACATAATCAAATAAATCTCTGATTTTGCGTTCTTTTCAGGAAAATAAACCAACATTTACATTCTTATGCCCTGTGTGAAGGAAGGCTTCTGAACCATATTTTTCCTATTCTCCCCAGTGATTCCATACTTTGAGAATGTGCTGTTTTCTGCAAAAGCATACTGAATGAGCCAGCTGTGTAGGAGACCAGTCTATAATTGGAGGGTAATCTTTTCAGTGTCATGCATTAAGCATTGTCTCATTTTTATATTCTGTTAATGTTAGGCATCGACTGAATTCCCCAGGGTGCAAACTCATTAGCTGCCCAGCATGGAGGTTTCCTTATAACCTCCAATACAAAGTCGGAGAAAATGTGAAATCTTGTAAATAGCTTGGCTCTTCTCCAGGATCTAATTTTAAAGAAGGGCAAATAAAACACGGTTTCCAGAGGTGAGCTATGTTTGATCAGCTGCAGCTGATGTTGCAGACGCAACATCAGCTGTGAAGTCAAGCATGCTGTGAGCACATGATAAAATGTTTGGACGGAATGGTCTCCTTGGAAGATGGCTTTGGCCTGCTTTCATGAAATATTCAGCAGACAGTGTGCATGTGTACTTAAAACATTCAAAGGTCTGACAAAAATTTTAAAGTGATTTATATTTTTATTCTCTTCAAAAGGAAAGGCTGCGCACTTGTGCCAATTTGCTCGCTTAGCTCTAAAGTAGTCTCAATTGGACAAATGAAAACAAACAAGAGAAAATGATGTTCAAACAAATTCGGGTGTAGTTTGATTTGTTTGTGATATTTCGGCACTCTCCTTTGCACTAATATTAAAAAAAATAATAAAGTAAATATGGTAAAAATGAGTGGAAGCTATCCACAAAATGGCATGGCTCACTGAGATACTGTTATATATTTATATAAGACACACACACACACACACACACAATGACAAGAATATTGTTTTTGCTAAACACCAGCGCGTTTTATATAAAAAATAGTTTCCTGACTGTAATCTTACTCTTTTTGAGATAAAGTCTCTTGTTTTAAAAACAGAAGACAGTGAATTAAATCTTTATTTAAAGTTTCTTTTTTCATAATCTAGCCAATAATAATAATGACAAGGAACAACTACAATCCACAAAATAACAGCTTGTTTCGATTTCTACGAACTGAGAAAATATATTATAACAACAATAATCCTTATGGTCAATATCTGCATGAAGCCAGCAAGTTGTGAGATATTAATACTATGTGGAAAATATCCAACTGTTTATATCCACTGTGGAGGTCTGTGAAATGCGCTTATTGTTAAGATCTATTAAGACCAGGATGAGTCTATAAGGATCTGAATGGAGCTGTAGATCCAGTCAATCTCCTGGATTGTGAATCTGCTCCCCACAGATCCTACCCAGAACCAAAGATTAAAAATATGAAAATGCTACAACTCATTCTGGTAGAGCAAGTGGTGGGCCTGGGCTCAACTTCATTTTGAGCACTGGTCCAGGAATGAAACTTGTTTTAATCACTTGTGGCCTTAATTATTTTGGGTCAGCTCACTCTGAATAAAGACTGTTTAGAAAGAGCAGCTGATATAACCTGGAGTGAAGGGAGAAAACATCCTGACCTAAATGACAAGTGTAGACCAGATCATCAGCTTGAATCAATTTTATTGAACTGTGCAGGGAATGGAATGCAAGATTCTGTCCACTAAGACTGGGCTAGGCAAATGCTTATATAATGATCTTATTTAGATGAAAAAGACAGCAACAGAACCGACTCTCAGACCAACTCAGTATTTTTAGCATTTATTATGTTTACTCAGCAAGCCTTGAGTAATATTCAGGGGTTGACTTCAAGTTCTTTCCAGTAACTAGTTCTTGAATTTGCATTCAAGGACCAGAGTAGCTGTTTGTAATTTACTGTATATTCTTAAGCATTTTGCTAAGCATTAAGCATATCTGAAGCCAGTTTGTTATGTCAAGCTGTTTCCTTGGTTAATTTTTTCTTCATCATCATCAGCAGCAACCAATGTAGTGATGGGCTAAATTTGTTCTGCCCACATGATGCCATTGGTTGCTTCTAGGTTTCCAAGTGGTGGTTGTCACTTTTTAACTCCAGTATGGCTAACAACATGTGTTGTATGGAATCTGTCCATCCAGTAATAATGATGATGAGGGAATAGGTTTCCCTCACCCCCTAATCGTGGGTGTTGACATCAGAGATTAGTAGACAATCCTTTCTACTCCTGTGGAACATCTTTTTATTTATTTCTTTACTTATATACCATATTTAGAAACCACCCGTCTCGGGGTGGCTCTGGCCAGTGTACAAATAGACATTTCTTATTTCCTTCTGGAAATTTCTATCCGTACTTGTGTTTCAGAGGTGATGCAGGCCTTGCTCTTCCAGAGAGCCTTTGGGAATGGAAAATAATGTAAATTTAATTCCTGAGTCAGGGCTTTTCTGGTAGGATTATGACTATGGAGATTCTCAGTCATCCAAGTGCTTTTTCAAGAGGCAACTGGACGTTCTGGTTTTTCTTTGAAGATGTTTTGCTTCTTCAAGCGAAGCTTCTTCAGCTCTGGTAGGATTAGTTTGTCATATGTTACGCTGAGTTACTGCATGAATTTAGTTTGATAATATGACTTCTATATAATCTAGCCAACTGTGTTGTTTAATAACTCATGAACTAAGCAGTTAAAGACTTGAGTACATTGAGTACAATGTACATAAATGAATATTCAGGGAACAAACCTTTAGGACGTCTCATTCATATACAGTAGATCTCAAAATTAACAACTTTTCATTTATAATTTTCCACTTATAGCAACCAAAATCAGCATCCTCTACTTCCAGCAAGATTGGACTTTCTCTTGACAGATCACTGTTCTAGAATTCTGAAACATATATTAAAACTATACTTTCAATAATGCTTCAAATAAGATGGGAAGTTTCATACTTTATACAATCAGAACAGAACAGATCACAAAACAAATAAAGTTCTTTTATAAAAGAAGTTACTGATCTGTGTGCACAGCACGATTTTTCAAATGAGATAGCTGGGAACATCATTTGACCAATTTGTTTATCTCATGGACCTCATAACTATTGAAAAACAAACTGACTTTAGGATTACAGATTTAAAAATGACCCGGTTTGAATTGTGCCATAGTGATATTCCATTTTTACTTTCCTTCATAAACCACTGAAATTGGGAACAAAATAAATTGTGGGGAGATAACATTCATTCAAATATATAAAGATCCTATGTTCCCAACATTTTTCACTCCTCCCACTTACACCAACAAATATTAAACAAAGGTGTTTTAGAAAACATTGTTTCACTTAGAGTATAGTAGCTTTGTTTATAATACTGCAGCTTTTGGATTGTCAGTCTTTCCATTATAAATTGCAGTTTTTACAATTTTATAGCTGAGTTGTAAAAGCTGCCTCAATATATTACTTGGCAAGCTATATAGGAGTGAAATTGGATTTTTCCTTTCTTTTCAAGGGTCATAGAATTATAAAAACATTCAATTTGTAAGTTATTATAATCTTATCCTGTTTCTCAAAGAGCTAATAGAACTGTTTTGAAATATTATAACATATCAAGTCTGCTTCCAATCATGATATCTTGATCACATAGAATTGTAAGCTTCAAAATTGAACATGTAACACACACATCTTCAGAACCTGTATTATATAGCAATAAAATATACAGCTATGGTTTATTCCAGTTATTTGCTTGAGTGGCATGGTGGCCTAGTGGTGAACACACTCATCTCCCACTCAGAAAGTTGAGAGTTCAATCCTAGGTAGCAGCAAATGTTTTTCTCCTAGGATGCAAAGAAAAAATATCTACTACATGTGACTTCCCCATGTCATTAGGAAGGGCATCCGGCCAGTAAACGCTCAGCTCCATCTGGTCGCCCTGACTCTACCCTGAATTAAGGAATTATAGGGTTGTAAAAAGGGCAGTTTTATTCTAGTTATTTATCTGCTCCTTGATTAAGCTTTTTCCTTAACTGCGAAAATAGATGAAGCAAAATGTGAAGTCCTAGGCTGTAAGAACATTTTGCTGAATTAATTAAAATATCTGTTGAATCCTGAATTGGAAATTTTTTTGCTTGGGTAAAACAGAATTGCTACAAGTCAGCCTCATGTCTAGAAAGGATCTGATTCACAGAAGAAACACTTTAACATTCAGAGTTGTACCTTGCATTGACCACATTTCTTTAAGATTTCAGATTTCTGGTCCTAATTGGAGATGCCAGTTACTGAACCTGGGAATTTTGCACAGAAAACAAAAATGGTCAGTGAACTATGGTCTCTGCTTCACCATGGAATTAGCTTTAGAGAAGTCTCTATACAGTCCAGTTTCTCCAACTGAAGATTCTGTATATGTACAGTATAACTTCACCTCTTCAGTAAACCCAGGACTGGTAGATTCTGGGAATTGAAATCTTGTAGGTACCCAATTGGGCCAGCCTTTTCCAGGTAGAGAATCTATGTCAGCATCAAACAAAGCAACACTGAAAACCAATAAAAGCAGTGAGATTTCCCTTCCCCTTTTCAACTGCACCTATTTCTGAAGCAGAAAGAAAATGCCTAGCTATCTTGTAAAGCAACAGAATAATAATTAGTATTGGTCTAATATTTAGATCCAAGTTATTGAGATGTATTAAGGAAACACTGACTTTCCCTTCACTTTTAATGTATTTCTGCAGCAGCCTTTGAGTCCCTGCTTCGTTTTGCTGAGAATCACACCGCTTCTCTCTTTGAGACTGTCTACAGATCCATGTCGAAGGAGGCAGCTGAGCCTGTGAAAGAACTTTTTACAGACCTCTCTCTCTACCTCTTGGGTGCTCAAAACAGAGTGGAAAAAGCATTTTTCCGGTTCTTCGACAGCCTCTTCCCTTTGGTTTATACCCGCTTGATAAACCCTGGCATGATGGACTTGTCAGAAGAATATATGGAATGCCTGCGACAAACACGACAAGACATCAATCCATTTGGGCGCTATTCCAAAGAAGCTGTTATGGAGCTAGCAAAGTCTCTGAGGGCAAGCAGAACATTCAACCAGGCCCTGGGAATGGGCGTTGAAGTGCTGAATGCCACTGAACATGCTGTTTTGACCAAAGAATGTATCCGAGGCCTTGTGAAAATGCAGTATTGTCCTCACTGCCAAGGTTTGACCCTCATAAGGCCCTGTGAAGGATATTGTCTAAATGTGATGAGAGGTTGTTTTGCCAGCGTATCTGAGCTGGATGTTCATTGGAGGGAATATATCTATACCCTGGAATACCTCACCAGTGAAATGGCTGTAACTCATGATCTAGAACTGGCACTGATGGGTATTCGGTACTCAATCAATGAGGCCATTTTACAGGCACAACTTAATGGACCCCAGCTATCAGCAACTGTAAGTATGTGTACTTGATTTATCTGCACATTTCTGTCACTGCTCCTGCTTTTAATCTTTGAGGAATGCATATGCTTTAAATTTCTGTCTACTGTCACTTAAATAAATAATCAGGTTCTCCCCCTTTCTCATGTGCCTGTCAGTTAATAGAAAGCTCATTAAATGCATCTATTTTAAAAGATAGAGAAGCATTCCTAAATCGGAATGTTAGCAACCATGTTGGACCATGGAAAAAAGTAAAAGTAAAATGAAGAACAGTAGTGCATTAATCAATTGAGCATGAATTACCAGCACACTTATTTATCTTTTATGGCTATTTTAATCTAGAGTGTAATCATAATGGTGAATGAGAAGCAAAATGTACCAAAAATATCCATTTGGTCATCACATTATTATGCTATTTCTTCAGTTTATTTCAGGTAATCCATACAAAGATTTAAAAAAAACCTAATCAGTTATTTATGTTTAATGCCTAGTTTAATTAAGATTTTTGTTGATATCCTCATTGGAGATCCATGTTTATGAATTACTGAACACTAAATGTTTCCTTAAATTCCAAGGGATTCTGTTTCTTTATGAGTAGACAGCCTGGACAATTTGTTACTTTAGGGTTCTTGCTTGTCTTTCTTGTCTTCAGTGCTGAGAGAACCACTGGCAGACATTTGTGTGATGGTATGTCTGGGTGGATGTCTGGTTTATTAATAGATTTGGTACACTTGGGAGCTAACTGGATGAAGAAGGATTGAAAGATTGAACTAGTGTAATCTAAAAGTTGAATGGTTTATAGAAGCTTTACATAGAGTGCCTCTGTTGAACAAATAGCTGGCATTTGGATGAAAAAGCATCAAAACTTTCTACTTTCAAAAGACCTACAACTGTCTAATTACTTTATTGCATTGTAAAACCATTCATGGTAACTTAAGGAATGAAGTTTTTGCTTCTTTAAGAACTCTCTTTCATTCTGCCTTTCAGGCTGCAAACTAGATAATTAACTGAGTGAAAGTTAATTGAAGTACACATTTGATATCATTTACATGCTGGAATGCAGATTAATCAAAGATTAATTCAATTAAACATGTTTGGGTTGGAATTTCACTTTTAATTTTGCATCTATAGGTATAACTTGGTATGTATGACTTGGCATCTTTTCTTTCTTTATTGTAATATATAATTATGATATATAATTAAGTCTTATATTACTCCTGTTCCAAGAATAAGAAGTTTTAGAATGAGAAATGGCTTATTTTTCTCTCAAATATGTATTTTTTTGATTATTATTATTATAGCATACAATTGTCAGAGCTTTATTTTTAATTCTCAATCAATCAGAATAGAGCAGGAAGGACCTTGGAGGTCTTCTAGTCCAACCCACTACTCAAGCAGGAGATCCTATACTATTTCAAATAGATGGCTGCACAGGCATTTCTTAAAAACTTCCAGTGATGCACCTACAACTGAAGGCAAGCTGTTCCACTGGTTAATTGTCCTCACTGTAGGGAAGTTTCTCCTTAATTTCAGGTTGCTTTTCTCCTTGATTAGTGTCCATTCATTGCTTCCTGTCTTGCATTCTGGTGCTTTGAAAATAAATTGACCCACTCATCTTTGGGGCAGCCCCTCAGATATTAGACTATTGCTATCATGTCCCCCATACTCCTTCTTTTCTCTAGCCATACCAATTCCTGCAACCGTTCTTCATATGCTTTTGTCTCTTCTAATTAGGAAAATTCCAAAAATTATATTGAGTTATTTCAGGAAAGAAATAATGCATATTCAGAATATGTGCTATGTTTCCTAAGTATGCAACATAGTTACATAATTAATAAAGCTATTCTAATCCATCTTTTCAACATGCAGATTGCAGACTTTAAATTATAACAGAATACATAAGATTTTTTGCATAAAAACCTATTTTTTTTGTTTAAGAAATAATAATTTATTATTTTAATATATTAATTAAATAGATTACATTTTATATAATGCATATATTATAATAATTATTATAACCTTTTATCATAACCTGGAAAAAAACAGCCATTAGACATACGGCTGGAATATTGGACTGAACTCAAGCTGAACTACAACTCCTGGATAGGAAGACCAGAAAAATAATAACAATATTATCATACCCTTTATCAATACAGTGATGTTAACAGACTCTATTTACCAAGGAACATAGGTGGGCAGGCAATGTTGCAAGTATACCAATAATTGAAGAGGAAAAAAGGCATTAGAAGAATAACTGAAGGGCAGTGAAGAAGATGCACTGAAGCTAGTATACCATGAAGGCTTAGTGAGTACCAAAGAAACGAAACTGATCTACATGAAATACCAAATGAAGAACAGAAAAAAGACATGGCAAGGCAAGGTATTACGTAGCCACTACATAAAAAAATAATAAAAAAAATAATAGACCAAGCGGAAAACAAGAAGGCCTGACAATGACTAAGAGTACAAATTGAAGAAAGATATACAGAGGATAAGTCTGACTGCACAAGACCAAACCTTAAGAATGCATACAAAATCAGAATTGAGAAGAAGCAACAGCTAATGTCATCTCTGCAAAGAAGCTGAAGAAACAATAGCTCACCTACTTATCTGCTGCAAGAAGACTGATTATAAACAATGGCTTGACAAAGTAACAACAATATGATGCATTGAATATCTGCAAAAAATCCCAGTTGCTTGCAAGCAAGAACTGGTAGGAGCTACAAAATAGACAAAGTGATAGAAAATGAAGAAGCTACAGTGCTCTATATTTTTAGAATTCAAACATACAAGCATCTGTCACACAACACCCCAGACTAAAAATTGTTGATAAGAAAGACAAAAAAGTCTGGCTACTGGAAGTTGCTGAACCTGAAGATAGCATAATAGAAAAAGAGAAAAACCTTGAGAAAATAATAAAATGCAAAACCTGCCAAGAGAAGTAGATGATGGTGGCAAAAGAAAGCAAATATTGTTCCAATAGTAATAGATGTCTTGGGTGCAACCCCAAAACATTTGGAGCAACATTTGAACACTAAGAATGATTCTTTGAAAGAATCTGCTCAACAATGGCAACTAATTTTTAAAAAGCGACAAAACAATTAGAGGGGCACTTTTTTGCCACTTTAAAATAGCAATAGTAATAGCAATAGCATTTAGACTTATATATAACTCCATGGTGCTTTTTAGCACTTTCTGAGTGGGTTACAAAGACAGCATATTGTCCTCAATAATCTGGATCCTCATTTTACCTACTTTGGAAGGGTGGAAGGCTGAATCACCCTTGAGCTGGTCATGATCAAACTGCTGGCTGTGGGCAGAGTTAGTCTGCAATACTACATTCTAACCACTGCTCACATGGCTCCTAAAATACAGAGTAATTGGTTGACATGCATTTTGACTTTTGATCACATCATAAAATTCTTACATCAAGAGTAACCTGGAGTTGCTTTCAGAGTCCCAGTCAATCTCTTGCTTTGCCCATAAGAGGACAAGTATCATCAAAGACATGGATTAGAAATGATTTAATATAAGGGATTGATGTTAATGAACATATTTATAATGCAATTGTTCCCTTCTTTCCCTGCAGCCACTGCATTTATTGCAAATCTATATATATAAAAGTGAAAACTACTCACGCCGCGATCACGAAATCTCCCGAACTGTAAAGCCTACAAACTTGAAATTTGGCATGTATTTTCCTTGTGGCTTCTAGGTGCTCGCTAAGAAATGATTTTTCAAAATTACCATCAGACCATTAGTATTTCTTATATAATTATTAACACGCTCTGATGCTAATTAGTTAGACGTTCTATTCTCCCTCCCAACCTGAGAATAACTCTGGAGAGAATGGGATAGGATAGGAGAGGCTTCTGTGGGGCAAGGCTGAGGGAGAGAATGGGATAGGATAGGAGAGGCTTCTGTGGGGCAAGACTGAGGGAGAGAAAGGGGATAGGATAAGATAGGCTTCTGTGGGGCAAGGCTATGGGAGAGAAGGGGATTGGAGAGGCCAATCATAACTACTCATTAATTTTCAAGCTGTGTCGATTTATCAAGCCTGATCACATAGTTTCATAGCGGAGCACGGGTATTCAGCCAGTGCAGTCATAAAACAACTTCTTTCGTTGTCCCAAAGGTGATTTTTCAAGAAGCCAAAACAAGAAAAACTTTCTTGTTTTTCTTTGAAGATGTTTTGTTTCTCATCCAAGAAGCTTCTTCAGCTCTTACTGAATGGGGGGAAACAAGCTTCTTGGATAAGAAGCGAAACGTCTTCAAAGAAAAACAAAAGTCCAGTTGCCTCTTTAAAAAGTACCTTTGGGACAACCATGGCCTGGGTGAAGAATCTCCATAGAAACTTCTTTCATTAATTCTTTAGAGAGACAACGAATCTTTCCAGTTTCACTATGAGCATCGGCACTCAGGTGGTATATGATATATAGTGCCGTTATCTTAAAGTTTATGTGGGCAAAACTACTAGAGCTTTTAAGATTAGAACTGAATATATTAGGCAATATAAGAAAACAAAGATTAGGGCCATTCTAGTGAAACATATTTTAAGAAATACAAATAAGGCCTTTAACTTCAAACATGTGTAAGAATTTTGTTGTCCTTGTACTCAATATTTTTCTAGCATTAAAAATTAACACAGCTGCTCTCATTCTCATTACATTCAGTTTTACCCAACGCACCAGCTGACTGGTTTACAGGTATTCAGAAGGTAAACAACAATTTATTTTGTACGTTCACTTCTATTTTCATTTACATTAGAGGCAAATATATACAACATGCTTTAGGAGTATCATTTTCACTGTGCTATATTATTATTTTTGGGCTTCCTACAACAACATTCTTTTCTGTGGTATTTAAGCAAAATAAACAGAACATTCATTCAGGCTATCCAGTTTTCAACATTTGCTGAGTTAATTAGAATACACATAACATTTTGTGTATTTTTAAAACATTGTTACACGTGTCTTGTAAATCATTGTAGTGCTTTCTTTTCTATTGTTTCTGTT